TAAACTTTTATCGATTGTAACTAGTTTTTATGCTCACCGACTAAATTAATGCGAATGGAATTATTTCATCAAAGGCATTACGTAATGATAAATAAACATTTGAAATTTGGATTTGTGAGCTTAATTCCAAGGATTGATAAATTATCTTTATACTCACTTGCTGAATGAAATTATTAATACGAACGAAATGATTTGAAGGGTATTACATAATGATGTTCTTGATTTTGAACTTGTTTTGCTGATTTTAATTTCAATAATGAATTTATACTCACAAACTAAATTAATAAGAATGAAATGATGGATATTAAATAAGTATTTATTAAACTTGTTTTGCTACTTTTAATTCTAATGATTAATAAATGATCTTTATTTTATACTCACATGCTAAGTGAAATGATTAATGTGAATAAAATAATTTGGACGGTATTACATATAGGAAATAAATATTTATTTTCTTGATTTTGAACTTGTTTGTTGATTTAATTCCAATAATCAATAAATAATCTTTATACTCACGTACTAAATTAATGTGAATAATATTTAAACATATTTCATAATAGTAATAAGTATTTATGTTCTTAATTTGTAAAATAAATAATCTTTATACTCACTTACTGAATGAAATTATTAATGCGAATGAAATGATTTGAAGAATATTATGTAAGTATTTATTTGTTGATTCATAAGCTTGTTTTGCTAATTTTAATTTCAACAATTACTTACTTGCTGTATAAAATGACCAGTGTGAATGAAATGATTTGAAAGAGTATTATATAATTGTAAATAAATATCTATATTCTTGATTGTAAACTTGTTTTGCTGATTTTAACTCTAATAATTAATAGATTATCTTTATACTCACTATCTAAATTATGCAAATGAAATGATTTAAAGAGTATTACGTAATGGTAAACAAGTATTTACAGTGTTGGCAAAATATGGACCAATGAACATGGACAATTTTAAACTATGTTCATATTGCCTATATTTTTATTGGATATAAAACACTTACCGTATAAGCGTGAAATAAGCTTAATTCGGGCCATTATTCGAAATAACACCCCTGCGCGTTATTTCGCGCTTATATGGTAGTCCAAATCAAACATATGAGCTTACTTTCCAACATATTTAATAGAAAGTGCTAGATCAAGTCCAATATTAAGTTAAATATTCAAAAATTTTAGCAAAGATATGAACATGATCACTATTTGGATTATTCCATGTTTATATTTGATTAAATCCAAATAAAATTTTTATTGGACATAGTCCAAATGCCAATACTAAATTCTAATAATTAATAAATAATCTTTATACTTACCGACTAAATTAATGCAAATAAAATGATTTGAAAAGTATTATGCAGTAATTAATAAGTATTTATGCAAATTATTTTTACTGAATTTAATTTCAATAATTAATCAATGATCTTTATACTCACTTACTGAATAAAATAATTAATAGAATAAAGGATAATGCATATTAGTAAATAACATTTATATTCTTGAGTTGTAAACTTGTTTTGCTGATTTGAATTTCAATAATTAGTAGATATTTTATACTCACAAACTAAATTAATGAGAATAAAATAATTTGAAGAATATATTTAATAGTAAATAAGTAATTTATATTTTTTTGATTTGTAAATTAGTTTTTTGCTAATTTTAATTCCGATGAATAATGAATAATCTTGATACTTGCAAACTAAATTGATGCAAATAAATAATTTTATACTCACTATCTAAAAGTGAATGAAATGATTTGAAAATTATTATTATGCAATAGTAAATAAGTATTTATTATTTGGGATTCCATAGCAAAAAGAGGGCAGTGGGACAAAAATTTGATTTGTAATTTATAAGAATTGTATTCCTATTAATCTAATTCTTCAAGAAATCAATTAAAATAAAAATTTCTTTTGGCTCACTGACTTCTTTGCTGTGTTTATTTTTGCTAATTTAGTTTTGACGATTAATAAAAAATCTTTATACTCACCCACTACCAAATAAACTGATTATTCGAATAAAATTGTTTGAAGGATATTATTATGTAATAGTAAATAATTATGTTTATAATTTGTAAACTTATTTATTTTGCTAATTTTAATACAAATAATTAATAAATAATTTTTACTTACTTTTTAAATTAATGTGAATAAAATGGTTTAAAAAATATTACATAATGTTAAATGTTTATATTCTTAATTGTGAACTTGATTTGCTGCTTTTAATTCAAATAATTAATAAATAAGTGCCACCAAAAAAAAATCTATCATGGGCTTTAATATTCAATTTGTTTCCTAAGTGCCATCTAGGAAAATCTATCATTTGGGCTTCAATTATATTTTGTGCTAACTTATCACAAAATATAATTGAAAGCCTGATAATAGATTTTCTCTAGACGATATTCAGGAAACAAACTGAATATTGAAAACCTGATAACAGGTTTTCTCTTGGCGGCACTCAAATAATCTTTATACTTACTGACTAAATTAATGTGAATAAAATTATTTGAAGCATATTACATAATAATAAATAAGTATTTATATTTCTGATTTATAAGTTTGTTAATTTTATTAATTAATAATTAATTTCTATACTCACGATCTTGAGCTGAATAAATAATTAATGCGAATAAAATGAGTTGAAGATTATTACGTTCAATTTTATAAACTTGCTTGCTATTTTTAATTCTAATAAATGTTGTGGATAATGCTAAAATCAGATGATGTTTAAATTAAAACTTATTTAATATACAATTTAAAATTTTGAAGCACATGTTTTGGTTTTTTTTTTTTTTTAGATTTGAACTAGGATTTGTGTTAGAGTTTATTTTTCTAAATTAAAATCCCTAAATTTAGCATCATCTAATTTTAGTATTATCTGTAATAATGAATAATCTTAATACTTACTAACTAAATTGGTGCAAATGACATGAGTATATAAATACTTATATTCTTGACTTGTAAACTTGTGCTAATTTTAATTCCAATTATTAATAAATAATTTTTTATACTTACATGCTATATGAAATATTTAAACAAATACAAATGAAATGATTTGAAAAATATTACATAATGTAAATAAGTAATGATATTCTTAATTAGCAAACTTGTTTTTTATTTGATGATTAATAAATAATCTTTATACATACTAACTAAATTATGTAAATAAATGATTTGAAGAGTATTAGTAATGATAAATAAGTACAGTATTTACATTCTTGATTTGCGAACTTGTTTTACTGATTTTACTTCCAACGATCAAATAAATAATTTTTATACTCACAACCTAAATTATACGAATGAAATGATTGAATGATATTAAGTAATGGTAAATAAGTATTTATGTTTTTGGTTTGTGAACTTGTTTGGCTGTTTTAATTTCACGATTAATAAAGTTCTTTATACTCACTCGCTGAATGAAATAATTAATACACATGAAATGATTTGAATGTTCTAACTTGTCTTATTGTTTTTAATTCCAATTATTAATAAAAGATCTTTATACTCACTCCCTGAATGAAATAATTAATACGAATGAAATGATTTGAAGGGTATTAAGTAATGGTAAATAAGTATTTATGTTCTTTATTTGTGAACTGTTTTTAATTCCCAATTATTAATAAAAGATCTTTATACTCACTTACTGAATGAAATAATTAATGCGAATGAAATGATTTGAAGGGTATTACGTAATGGTAAATAAGTATTTATGATTTTGATTTGTGAACTTGTTTACTGATTTTAACTCCAATAATTAATAAATGATCATTGTACTCACCCCCTAAATTATACGAATGGAATGATTTCAAATAAGCATTTATGTTCTTGGTTTGTGAATTTGTTTGGCTATTTTATTTCCATGATTAATAAAGATCTTTATACTCACTTGCTGAATGAAATAATTAATGCGCATAAAATGATTTGAATGTTCTTAATTGTGAACTTATTTGCCGATTTTAATTCCAATGATTAATAAAAGATCTTTACTCACAGACTAATCAACGCAAATGAAATGGTTTGAAGGATATTACACAATGGTAAATAAGTATTTATGTCCTTTATTGTCCTTTATTTGTGAACTAGTTTTACTGTTTAATTATTAATAAATGATTTTATACTCACAGACTAAATGCGAATAAAATTATTTAAAGGGTGTTTTGTAGATTTTACTTTTAATGAATAATAAATGATCTCTATACTTACGAGCTGAATTAACACAAATTATAAATAAATATATTTATAAATTTAAATAGCTGCTATACGGATTAATAAATTTAATAGATGCTTACTCCCTGATAATTGAATAGTTAAAATCATATAAAATATTCCAATTTTTTTTAAAAAAAATAAAAAAATTACAAGCTGTTATACAGTATAATAATACAAATTAGAAATTAGCTTACTTTTCAATCCATTCCTTAAATTTAACTTCATTATTTTTCACGCCAATTCCATAACGGTAACAGATAGCAGTTTTATAGATCCCATTAAGATTACCCATTTCAGCGGATTTTTGGTAATGTTCAAATGCTTTGTGTTTATTCTTTTCAACACCAATTCCTAAATAATAACAATATCCAATTTGATACATTCCATTAGAATTGCCCATATCTTCTGATTTTTGATAATGAATGAATGCCTTGTTTTCATCCTTTTCAACATCAATTCCATATTCATAACGATAGCCAAGCCTGTATATTTCATCTGGATCGTTCATGTTTGCAGAATTTTGATAGTTAATGGAATTCTTCAATGATTTGAGCAATTTTCATCTTATGAATTAATAAAATCTTTTAGTAATCGATTTTCTGTTAAGTCTTGATTTATGAAAAATAAGAAAAAAAATCGAAAAAAAAATCAATGCACCACAAAACTGCAAATTCAGAAATTTATTACACTGTATCTGTAATGTATGGATACGTACAGTGGTTATACAATATAATTAAATAGTTGGCAATATATCCTAAGTTGTACCGGTGTAGTGTTTGGATACGTAATTATGTTACCTCAACGAATGACGCTTATGCAGTTACGTATGTCGACCACCAGTAATGCATGTTGTAAAAAGCGAATTAACCCACTCGGAAGTGCTGCTAAATTTCAATTTAAATTTTTTTAAATTTTTCAAAATAGTGGCAATAAAGTTGAACGATAAAAGTATAATGAAAGTGTAAAAAATTTTTAATATAATGAATTTATTTTATGTAATAAGAACGACATACTGCAAGCGACCAAAGCATACATTCCATAAAAATAGCTCAATTGAGCTCTAAAACTTCGAAGAGTACTGTTGCATCTAAAGTAGCGATTTATCTAAAGTAGCTACTTTAGATATATAAAGTAGCGCCTGACTAAAATTAG